GGGGGGCACGCGGATGCGGCCCCACAAGGCGTCGGGTTTCGCTCCGCTCCGAGCACATTTTATTTGCTTTACTTTTTCGACGTCTCGTCATAAAAGTGTGTGGCGTGCCGTTCTCTTGGCACGAGGACGCAACGGGGGAGAAAGACAGAGAAAGAAAGACCGGTTTCCTGGTGTCGCGGCTCTTACAGCAGACAAGTGCGCTGATCTTTGAAACGCAAATTTGTTCAAATGTGATCAAACTGAGACCATTTCCAATTTTGGTCATCTGGTGGACCTAAACCTCGAATAGGCTGCCAAGAGTCGATTTTGACGGTCAACCTATCAACATTCTAAAGTCCGCCCTCAAGGTACTTAAATTTTGACCTTGATGGCCTCCTTTCTCATGTTAGTTTTGTCAAACGTGTGTTTCTTGGTCGGTCGCGCCATCGGCAGGGGACAGCGATAATGAATGAAATGTACGCTTATCGAAAAGAGATCGAAAACAAGTGATGCACGAAAAAACATCCGACCGAAAATAACCGACGGGTGTTATCCGGTGTGTTATCGTTAATAGGCTGTCTTCGGTCACTGCTGTTGCAGCGCTTTCCGGCTTCGTGTGTAATAGTACCACCCAGAGACGGAAAGAAAAAAGTTTAACAAGAAAAGAAAAAAAAACAGGGTTTGGACGGATGGATAGCCGGGCTTGCGTAACGAACGCCCAGGCGGTTAGGCCCTTCTATCCGATCCACTATCTTCGTTTTACATCGGGAGGAAAGGTCAGCCGATTTAATAATGCGGCTAGCCCGAGGCGGGAGTGTGTGTGTGCTTTTTTTTTAACTCTACCTTGTCTTTTTCCTTGCCCCCACTCGCCCCACCAGGCCGCACCTTTTTAAATACCATCCCTGTACCTTTCCGGTTTACCTTCGTGAGATATAAACGCATAACTACCAGATTTCGTACACATAACTGGAAACGCAAGTGTGTGAATTACGCACACTTGTAGGTGTGTGGATTCCCATTCGAAATTGAAATTCACACACACGCAAACACAAATAATTATGATTATTTTTTTATTTATTTTTTTCGTTTTGTCTGTAAAGACACGTGGAAATGTATCGAGGCCCATACCAGCTCCTCATCCCGCTTCCTAATGGCTATTTGGCTTGTCGTTGACCCCCGGGTGATGCGCTGGGTCTCACCTGTGGGCCTCCCCCCGGGGGGGCCACCGAAAGTAGTTGTGGCCCCCGCTGCAACGACTCGACCGCCAAGTCAATCGTACATTTGATGGGAGGGTCATACGCCAAAATAAGTACCTTTTACACTTTTCTCTGGAGAGTGGTTTATTTCGCAGTGGAAAAGAAAAGCGGGGAGGGGGGGGGGACACAAAATTCATTGATTCAACCTTCCCTTCTCCCTCCAACGGGAACGCACAATCATTTTTCCTCCCAGCCGAGATTGTGTGTGTGTGTGTATGTGCGCGCGCGCGCGCGCGTCAGTGTGTGCCTTGTTGGGTGGGTCTATTTATAGGTGTCCATATAAATGGTGGAATGTGGACGAACCTGGACGGGTTTAGCTGAGGACAGCGTGAGGTAGGCCGCCTCTCTCGGGCCCGGTCCCCCTCCCCCCCCCCCCTCTACTGACGCATCGCGTACACCGTCAAATGATAGATTTCGTGTTATGGATTTTAGTTTAAGGCTGTGACGATTCATACGGGAATAGTAGCGTTTCTTGTGAACGATGCACCAAGTTGTACCTGCCTCCGCACTTTAATTGTTGGCGTATTTTTATTAACGAATAACTGTCACACACTTTCCGCTACATAAGTTTTTGTTTTGTTTTGTTTTTTGAAAGAAAAGGACGTTTTGATCCGAGCTCTCCGACTGCAAATTAAAAGAGAAAGTCCATGCCCAAAATTACAACGGCTGAAACAACTTCAAATTTCTTTATTTTTATTTTTTTTTAACTGGTATACTGTCCGGTCCGGTTCACGTCCGTTTGCAGTCGTTGTTGGTCGAACTGCTTGTCTACTGACGTTTGACCCCCAAGACCGCCCGGCCCGGCCCAGTAGAGTGGCTAGGTGCCTTAATCAACCAATCAATCACTCGAGGGCCTCGATAAGGTCCGCGGGACGCCGCGCCTGACAGGCTGACGATGCTCCCGCCCAGTCGAGGACCACAAGCTGCTGCAACTGACACACTCTCACAAACAATAACTGCAACATTCTTAAAACTATTTTTTTCATTTTTTTTTAAGTCTTTTTTTTTTGTACTGTGTGGCTGGCATAGAGCAATGTAGGGGAGGAGGCAAAAGTGGGCAAGTGCGCAGTGCCCACAAGGCATTCTATTCACGTTCGGTATTTGAGTCGCCCCGCCCCGCCCCGCCCCGCCGCGCGTCATACTGCACGACACTACTTGGTTCCGCTCGCCCCGCCG